CTTATGTCTGCTTTGAGCCAGAGTTTGTGGACCCCATGCTTAACAAAATAAAGTTTGGATAATGGGAAAAAGGGAGAGAGCTTGTAAAGAGACAGCATAGACTACTTCTTGCAGATTATCCTAATTTGAGATAAACACACTTCAAGGAGTTCATAAACCCTTTCCAGGGTGTGAATGAGGTGTTAACACGTGAGCAAGTCCAAATGACTGAGGCCAGGACCTAGGCTTCACTAGATCCTCAAAGGTGAACTTGACTGGAGGAACTTTGAGAACGACTGATTAAAAATACTCAAACATTAGATCTGGAGAATTTGTATTCCATTAACTCATTCACACCTAAAAAACAGACAAATTGGCTGGATTTACCTGGCTACCATTCATGAGTGACAGCACTGACAGCTGTCCTTTACCTATTGCCTTTTTGATTTGATGTCCTGGGATTATTAGAATTACTAATTACTACCACTACTATTAGTAGTAGTAAGCACTTGCTATATGCCCGGAACTTTGCTAGTCTGTTTACAAATATTTTCACTTAATCATTACAACAGTCTCCTGAAGTAGGTACCATTTATCATTCCATTTTATATTTGGGGAAACTGTAACTCAAAACATCTTAATTTTTTTCTTTTCTTCAGGAATCTTTTCTAGATTCTTTTTTATCTTAGATTTTATCCTTACTAAGGAGCTTCACTGACTTCAATGGCTTTTAATATACTGATAATTCTCAAATTGCCTTAAAAAAATCTTTCCAGTGAGCCTCCCAGGCTCAACACGGCCAGAATTTACAAATATGGCCCTTTCCCAGTAGTCACTCTTCTGGTAAATGGCAACATGGTGTACCTTCCCTGTGACATCCCCTCTCTTTACTGCCCACCAACTCTCAGATACAAAGGATTTATTCTGAGGCTGAACCCATCCACCTCATTCCAAAAACATCCTGGCACAATTATCCTGCAATGGTGTCTTAAGCAGTCTTCTCAATAAACTTCCTTTTTGAAAATTAAAAGCAAGGGATATTAGAACAAAAATAAGTATTATAAAGCCATGACTGTTTAAAAGAGCTATATAAAATGTTATCTCTCTGTGTGTACATGCACTGCAATGGGTTTGTAATCAAGCAGTTAAGAATATAAGCTCTTCCTCAATTCCTAAGAGTTGTGTGGTTTCAGATGAGTCAAGGAACCCGTAAGATGAGAAGAGAATCTTATGGCTTTGTTTTGAGCCTGGACATATTAATATATGAAAAACATCTAAAATCTTGACTGGCATGTGGTAATTGTTCAATAAATTATAACTGTTATTAATATTTTTATTAATATTAACACAAATGCATAAAAAGACTAGCCAATGACATACTAATATGTTCATAATGAATTTGCAATTAGTGGCAATATTGTACATACTTTTTATATGTTCTTTCTGCTTTGCTGTGCTTAAAAATATGAAAGCCATTAATGAAATAAGTCAACAAAAATCTCTTTAAAACCACTCTCTATTAATTGAGGATGTAATAAAATTGGTCATCTGTTTAAATATAATCAGACACACTTCTCTAAAATTTGATACCCATTGCAAAATTGATCTCATGCTTAAAAATTATCTTAGCACAGTTAGAATAATTATCACCACATGTAATTAGCTGAATTCTTAGTATTGTGCCTTTAGGCATGTACTGAATTTACTTTTCTCCTCCAAATCTTGAGATACATGCTAATTATAAAAATTAATTCTATTCAAATCAGTATTTTTTTCTGTCAAGCCAAACTAAAAGTGTACCTGCATCATAGCCAAACTGAAAAATTATAGTTCAGAACAAAGAAAAGAACAAAAATAGAGCAGCTGGAGTGTGTTTGAAAATACTACTCCTTATTAGGGCATGTGTTCAGGAGATGAGTTACAATAGCTGAATTGAATCTCTATTAACAGTAGTGAGTTCCTACGCCAGACAGCAACAGTAAATAAAAGAACCCTTGCTTACATTCACTTGATGGTTTTGCAGACTGCAGAATCATTTCTGGCACCATTATTTTGTGCTCAGGAAGCAAAGAACATGAAACATTATGTTCCTTAGAATGTTTTTCTTGTGCAGTTAAATGAATCAAATAAATGAGGCACAGATAAGGAATTTAGATTTAAGCAAGATTTGGATCCACAGTAGCTTTCAGTTTCTAAATCTATGGGGGGGGGCACACATCCTTTGTAAGAATTTTTGGCTTCTAATGTGAATAATCAAGAGATGTAAGAAAATTTTATTAAAATCTTCAGACTAAATTGGTCATTCTTCCCAGGAGCTACAAACTTATTTTTGTAAAGGTAAAGTCAGAGAATCTTCACAAAGTAGGACTACACTTAAAATATAGAAAATACCTTGGTAGACTGGACTGGGTAGAAAGAGAATTCCACAGATGAATATAAGACAATTATTTTCCTGAGGTAAACAGTGTGCTTTCCTGGCAAGTACTCAGCACAATATATTTTATAATTTGCTTTACCTGTGTAACTTCGGTAAAAGAGTTGAAAAAAGATTAACGGAATGGGATTTTATATTCTGGACACTTTCTTGCCATAATTATTGTCTAGGGACAATATGAATTTTTTAAAAATGTGCAGCTCCATCCTTTTGGGCTTCCATGCACAGCATCTCTTGTCCTACCTTCTTCCATCCATGACAAAAGCCCATCCCGATTCCAAAATGGAGATGAATGAGATGATGTTTACAGAGAGGGAACTGCTGAGTCCTGTGCACACTCTATTCTCACCTCTCCCTCAATGGTCTATCCAAATGGAGGCCAAGAGAAACCACTCAGTCCCCATATGCAACTTGCCAGGAAAGCACACTATTTACCTTGGGAATATGGATGCTTGTCTTCGCATTCCTACATTTTCACATTCAGCTATTGGGTTCATGTGTATTTTAGTTGTGAATGATTTCCTTCTACCTGGAAAGATATTTCAATTTTTTAAAATACCCACTGTGCTGGTATAGTACTATATAGAAAGCTAAAATACCTACTTAGAAATCATCGTCCCAGGTATATTGATTTGATCTAAGATCTGTCCTGACATTAACTGTGTTCTGAATTTAGTAGAGGCATTCTTTAAAATTAAAGAAATCTTTCATATGGTTTTAGAACCCACACAATTTATTTCTCATATCCCAGGGGAGTAAGCACTCTGCATTTCAACATGTAATCAATGTACTGTTCTCTTACCCCAGCTCTTTTCTGTGTATTCTTCCTGATTTATGTTTCTGTGCTTAGGCTTCACCTCACCTCTTCAAGAAAGCCTCTCAAAACTGTGTGAGAGAGTCAATCACATTATTTTCTGTGCTTCCTCACTATCAATTTCATATACTTTTGCACTCATACACTATAATCTAATTTCTGAAAGTAGGATATTCCATGGAAATTATTAAAATGCAATTTATGGGAAGGCGGACATTATTTGAAAGTCAACACATTAACATGATTGGGACAGAAGGAACTAAATAGAGGGTAAAAAAGATGAAAGAGAGAATGAGAGAAAGAGAGAGTAAGAAAGAAAGACAAGCTATTTCTTAAATCTACAGTATGTCACATAGGAAAAACTGGTTTCCTTAAGTGATATTAAAGAACACTTCTACTTCATCTAAGCAATGAAGAATTTTTAAGTCTGGTAGTCAAGGCCTTTCTCCATATTCTACACTACAGAGCATAAAACAGTAACCAGGAAGAACCATCATAAACAAAACAAAACAAATGAAAAATGCCTCCTACTCCTATTTTAAAAAAACTTGACCCTAAGGAAGATAAAGATTATCCTTAACAATAAAGAGAACAGCTTACCTTACTGGGATAGCAAGTAAGGCAGATCCATTATAGGAATGCAAGGTAATCTAGGTTCATTCTAAGCCTATGATTTTAAGACAAACCTTAAAATCTGTTCAGATGAATTGCTATATGCACTAGTTCAATTTCTAAATGATTCAAAATTTCCTACTAGAAATTTATTTTTCAATATATCTAGGAGAATGCATAATTTAAAATAGGTACTTTCTAGAATACTGAATGACCTATGAAAAGGATTTTATAAAGCCTTTCTCATATAAATAAATTTTGTGACAAGACTCTTGCTATTGAGGAACAAAAAATGGAACCAATGATTATAGGGCGAGAAACAGATGTTGACAATTTAAATTGGTTCACTACTTCACTTACCTTTGGTTTTACAAAGGATTGAGCATAATAATGAATTATGTGGTATGTATGATCAAATATTATGCAGTTTTAAATATTGTTTTGTTGCATTTTACAAAATAAAAATAGTCTCTCTCGTTTCTGCATTTGCTTAGATATATATGTTTATATACCCAAACACACATATACACACACATACCTTCAGGACACAAAGCTTTTAAGATTTATAAGCCCTAGAAAATATTTGAAATACAAATTTATATTAAAACATTATTGTGCTTGTATGAATTCACTGACCCATTTTTCTAAAGTAAAAATTGCTTCTGGGGTTCACTTGTATTGAAACTGTAACAAATATAGTTCAGTTATATTCATAAAGTACCTTGAAGATTATACTTCAAGTTGCACAACTGACCTTCTTTTCTATAAAAACTATAGACATAGCCTAAATGGTAGGTAATTGAATTATGGAACATTTTGAAAAAGAGAACCTGCTGCTTTTCTTGCATATAAATCAATTTGGATCTCTGACACTTCTTTGCATTTCCTTGCATATTGCCTTGTAAATTTGTACTTATTTTTTTAACCTAGAGGAAAATATCTGACCACTTTACACATTGACGGAAAATACCTTCTTCAGAGAGCTGCAGAGAAAAAAAAATCCCATACATTTAACAGACTTTCAGAGTCAGAAAAATACATTTCCTTTGCAAAGAAAAACAAAACACACCCAACAATGTCATGAAGTCACAGCATGAAGATCACAGCTTTGGCCCTGGCAGTAAGAACGTGACATGTTTAAGTTGAATTCATTTCACTCACCTGTTTGGCTAAGTTGAGATGTGCTTCTACTTCTTCGCGACACTATAGCGACTACTTTGGCACTCAGGCTGGATCTCCGTTTCTTTCCACCTGCTCCAACAGTACCCACAGCTGTGTCTGACTGGCTGCCATCATTATGCTCCAGTGTGTACATCTCTCCACTGACACTGGTGCTCTTCATGATGGCTCTTCCTGAAGTCCCCATCCGTCTGCCTTGCATTTTGGGGGTAAATGAACTATATTTACAAAGTAAAAACATACATGCATCCATAAATTATAGGCCAGCATAACTGAAACTCTAAATCTAATAATTTTTCAAATAATCCAGACATATGTTTAGGCGGAAAAAGTCAGTTATCATCATCCTACAGCTACAAATACTTTACGGTCACATCACAACATCAAAAATATTTATGAGGGACAGATTAAAACAGTGACATTTCAATATTTAATAATCTATAGACTTTATAAAGATAGCAAAGAGAAATAACACCAATGCTTTCCATGGTGAGGTTAAGTGTTACCGACCCATGATCCTCTTAATTTTATGTTCCCTCAAAATATTAGCCAAAAAAACGATGTATAAAACCTTTAGTACCATATTGACCTTTTCCTTTTCTATTTCTTATTTTGAACTATAAAATATACATTAGCTAATATAAAATCTTTTAACGGTGTGATTGCTTTTAATATGTGAGTCAGAATGAATTGTGATATTACAAGTGATTAAACAGAAAACATTAGCATTATATAATGCTTATGGATATATATAAAATGAATGTTTCAGTTAAAAGGGAAATTAGCATGTGGTGAGGTCAGAGAGATGGGAAGGCAACATCAGGAGGGCCTATAAACTATAGAAAAGAGACAAGTCCTTAGGACCTTTCATGGACTGTGAATTGAACACTGAGACTTTAATTTGGAATTTTTAATCATTAGCTTATAGTCCATATCAAAATTCCAATAATAATAAGATATCCATTCAATGTATTCTAATCAGCTTTTCATTAACTCTAAGTTTTAAGTTATTTCCCTTTATAGTAAGCCATGGACTCGCTAACATGTACTTGTTTTCTCCCTATTGTCTTCCTAAAAGTAGAGTTTCATTATAGGTCTCAATTTGCATTTAAAATCATTTCATAAAAAAGCACCATTACGTCATTTAGAACAATGTTCCTTAGGTTATGATGAAGTTAAGTACAGAAAAATGCCTTTTATCCTATTTCTATTGTGAATATATAAGATGAGCTTGGAAGATTCAACAGTGTTTTCCATAGGTGTTTAATTAGAGCAATGCATTGTTCTGCAATATTGACAAATAAAAGTTCTGGAAATAACAAAAATTTGTGCACCAATTGCTACTATTTGGGGACTGAGTCAAGAAGTTGTATTAAAATGATTCTGTGAAGAAATTATGAGATCTGAGTTTTCCTCAAAAATTGAAATATTTGTTTAGATATTTAAAATCATTCTTGTATGACTGGAAGATGCTTATACCTTTCTAAAGAATTTAGGATCTTATAGTGTTCAATGAGAAGATGTTTAGGTATTTTCAATTGTTCTGTTTACTTACTGATATAATAGCCAGATTAATCAATTCAAAGGCCAAGGTTTTAGCACAAATATATCTCTTACTCTCCCCATTTCTTACCTTTATATTTATTCTGCTTCTTTTTGCTTAAAAAATAAAACCACAAAAACTATTCCTATTATTTACATGTGCCTGAAGTCCTTAAGATGTATCTTAGAGGCTCTATGCTGTCATGACTATTATCTCCCGCCCTTTGTTTTCTGCTTCATTCTGGTAACAGTGTAAGATTCGGATATGATACAGCAGGATGCACTTTATGCATCACCAAATTTGCTATAGCACAACCCTTCCCAATGCTTAACTTGAAATAAAAGTGATTCATCAGCATACAAATAGTTTGCTATAGAACCCATCTTTAAAATGAAAACAAACAAAACACCCACTTTTTTTTTTTGGTTCCCCCTTTCTCTCCAGAGAATAACTTATTGCTAAAACACCCCTCCAGAAGTTGTTGATATGCCATCTACTCCTCTTTTCTTCTGAACTAACTTGAGACAAGTTTGTCTCTACCACTTCACTAAAACTGCTTTTTATTAAAGTCACCAATCTAGTAGAGAAGATAACCCAAGAGGTCATGGTTTTATTGACCTAGAGCACATGATCTAGTTCTAAATTTATCTAAATAATCTTACTCAACTATTCCTTTTTTTCAAATGTTTATACACATGCATATATAATAACATGAGTTTCTCAGATCTGGTTTTCTCTCCTATGCCCTAATTAAAACTTTGGTATTTGTGAGGTATTTTTTTTGATCATTTGTCTTCTTCTTGAGAATTATGTTTTGATAGTGTAGAAGTCCTACCAAAGATGTTCAAATGTATTACTTGAGCTCATTAATCTGTGATGTCAGAGAAGGGTAATTAACAGGCTCTCTCAGTCTCAACTTGCCTTTTCTTAGCTTCAGATTTAATTTTAAAAGGAAATATAGAGACACTTATGTTTTCCTTGGGTTTTGGTTTTGTCTGATTGGGTCTAGTTCTGGTTCTGGACAAATTTGGTTCTGATTCTCCTCTGCTTATAGTTAACTATGCATTCCCAACTGTTTTGGCAGCAATGACAGGGAATTGATTTGTGGAAAAAATTTGTTGGATGGCAGACACCAGGGATATGTTGAAAGTTGGGTGGCAGATGACAGCAAATCTGGCTTATTAGTCTTTGCTTGTGTGTCTGCTTGCATGCTGCTAAAATCACACACCATTGAGAGAATACCTTGTGCAGACTGAAAAAGAACAGCTGCATAAAGTCTGTAGCAAGGTGTCCATGTTGATTTTGCCCCTATGGATGAATAGCTTCTACTTCTCTTTACTAAAAATAGTCTTCTCAATTGGTGATAAAAAAAAAAATCTTCTTACTTTGTGTACCTAAGGATAGCCATTTGAGGAGATGTATATTAGATGCCAAGGTGCCTTACATTTAATAGAGTTCTTGTTCTGACTGGTCTATATAGATTAATAAGTACCTCTATAATTCTAACATAACCTAAGAATCCCTAGAAAATAGAGAAACTGAACTTCTAATACTTTGAAAATATTAGCTTTTATGAAAAATATATTCTTAAGAAATTACTGACTTAGAAGTATTTTAACATAAGGATTAAAATCCACACAGTGGAGATGTCAAAGTTGTTTGATAATTTTGGCTGAACAACTTTATGAAAACCACAATATGATTTCACTTTATGTGTACCAGGATAGCTATAATTCAAAAAAACAATAATAACTATAATTAAAAACAAACAAGTGTTTATGGGGATATGGAGAAATTGGAACATTACTGATAGGAAAGCAAAATGATGCTGGTGTTTTAGAAGACAGTTCAGCAGTTTAGTTAAACTTCAATAGAGTTAAACTTAGAACAACCATATGACTGAACAATTCCATTCAAAATTTCAACATAAAGTTACTATATGTCCCATCAATTCTATTCTTAGTCATATGCTCACATAAAAATACACATCCACGCAAACACTTACATATGAAGATTTGTATAGGCATTATTCCTAATACTCAAGTGGGAGCAACCCACTGACCATCAACTGATGAATTGAAAAACAAAATGTAGCATACCCATACAATGGAATATGATCAACCACAAAAAAGAATGAAATATTGACACATATTACAATGAAGATGAAGCTGAAAGCATACTGTATGAAAGAAGGAAGAAATAAAATCCTCACATATGGTGCAATTTCATCTAAATGAAATGTCTAAGAGTGAAACTCATAAAGATGAAAGGTAATTTAGTAGTTTTCCAAGGTTAGAGCAGAGAGAATTAGAATGACTGCTAATGGGTATGGGCTTCTTTTGGGGGTGATAGAGTTAGGCAGTTAGATAGCAATAACCAACTTTGTCTATCTATCTATCATTATATATTTATTTATTATCTGAAAGATTTTTATTTTGCTGGCAAGCATAAAATTTTAAGTTGGGAGTTTATACATTTATTTCTTTAGCATTTTTTCTTTTAATCATTCCACTATTTTGGGGTTTCATAACATATGATGACATTTTAGCCAAAGTCTTCTCCTTATTTATGACATCTGTTTTTAACCCCTGAAATCTTTAAGAAATGGAAGATTCTCTTCTTTAATTTTGTGGAACTTGCCCAATCTCTGTCCCTTACAGCTGTTGCATTTGTTTGGTTTCTTGGAATCCTTCTCTGTGCATGCTTACCTGACAGTTTAGGGGACTCTGTAGCTAATTTTGAAACTCTTGTTCACAATTTCCAGTTGTCAGTTCCCAGTTTTAACTGGGACATCTACTTCTTCAGTCTAGAAAAACCACTGCCCAGGCTATCTCTCTCAGGGCACCAAACTATGAAGTACCTTTAGAGGAGATTAGAGTGAATTTAAAACTTGCCTATGCTTTTCTCATCTTTTAAAGATTGGAGCTCCTCAAATTTCTGCATTTTTGTTGCTTTTTTAAATGCCTGCTAATGATTTTTTTCTTCATTCTGATTTGGCATTTGCAGCTTTATTTGTGGAAAGTTAATCTGATACAAGCTATCCAATCAGCCTGGAACCGTGAATGTGTCATATTATTGCTTATTTATTTATTTACTTATTTATTGCCAGTACTTGGGTTTGAACTTGGGTTTGCTATTTAGGTGCTCAACCACTTGAGCCACACACTCTGCCCATTATTTCTTATTTTTGAATAAGGGTAGAGGAATCAGACCAGAAATATTATGGGAATCTTCATATGATAAGTAAGAAAGATACACGTGGTACAACGGTGCTATAGCAATTTATTTCTTTGCAAACTATGATGAATTGCTCTTGCCATGCTATCCATTATATACAATCCCCCGAGGTCCTGTTTTCTGCCCAGAACAGCAGACTTGTGATGCTTTTCCTAGAGTCAAGTCATCCGATACTCCCAGGTATAAGGCATTGTTTCAAGGAGTTCCATGGCTAAAACTTTTCCTAGTGTCACAGATTCTAGCTGGGCATTTTCTGACGGGCTTTTCAAAGGTGTTGCATTTATTTTAGAGAACTCTACATTTTTAAATAATTGCCTAAAGTCAGTAACTACTCATAGTATTTCCACTTGTTTTGGTATAGATTTCACTGAATTTTAAAGCTATTTTCCATAATGTGTAACTAAGGGGATATGGTTGCCTCTTAGTTTCATATG